GGTGTGTGAGTAGTGGTCCCCACCTGGCCACTGGTCCCCACCTGGCCACCCCTGAGAAAAATGTCTGGCTCTGCCACTGCACATATTCACCCATTAGGAGTTAATTTGAGGTGAGCCATGTTTGCCATGTTTGTCTGAGCCGTTAACATTCTGTAGTTCATTGAAAAATAAAGAGAAAAAAAGTTTACCCAGGAACTTCTGCACTAAAACAAAATGTGGCACAGTCAATTGAGTCTAATTGTATGGACCTTCACCAGCAGGGTGTGCTGAGGTACTGAGTGCTTGGGTCAGCAAAAAAACGGCACAATTACCACCTCTGAGCAATAAAGTGCCACAAGTCATTGAAGTGAAGATCAATAAGGGGTTTCGTTTTAGGACCAAACTGCAGCAGCTGCTCGGGATTTGTTCMCTTTATGGATTAGCATTAGTAAACAAAATCATACAAAACAATGCAGGAGCTGATKGGGATCACTGACTATTGTTATATGCCTTCATCCACTGACAGATGTACAGTTTTCTTTATGTGCCCTTGTCATATTACTACTGTATGTGATAACTGCAGTGTTAAAGGGTAACATACAATAAATCTTGTCAAAGCCATACTTAATCTCTTTTAAAGTGCTGCTTTAACCTGCTAGCCCATCAATCAGAAARTGAATGTTCAAAACTCTGCAGCAAGTAAGATACTATTTGTTCGTAACTTTTTTTGGTACATGTCAATCAGTAAAATGTCAACAATATCAACAAAAAATCACATACTTTAATTCTGCAACTGTTAAAAAACTATTTGAATTTTTTTTGTTTGTTTGCAAAGCATGTTGCAGCTTAACAATAAAAATGACTCAGATTTAGAMGTTTTTGTACATTTGACCTGTGCTGCATTATTTTGGACAAGCTCTACTGCATTTTACAATTTAGATTTCATTTCAACAGGAGAATTTTTTTCTCGTAACAAATGCCTCTTACAGAATTAGTTATGTTCTGAAAGTTCTGAACGTATTTAAAACCAACTTAAATCAAATGGCTATGTGTGCAACAAAGCGTTTTAAAGCTATTTATGCTAATTATTCTGTGTGTATTTATAGTCTGGATTTAATCCCCAGAGCAGCTGCTAATTAGGACTGTGGAAGGCAACGAGTGGCCTCCAACCACTTACAGGCCCTTTGTGAAGGCGCCACACAGCCAATCTATTCAGCAAAATGCTCCCTTTCCTAAACAAGATCCAGTTATTGAAGTAAGTGCTGTGTGCAGGTATTTCTGTCCCTATTTAAAGCATTTATTGATCAGTGAGCCTTAGAAACTCTGAGAAAGTACCTCGCCAGCATTCTGACCCAACACGATGACTGTCACAGCCCCCTCCCCTCAAACCACACTCTTTTCCAAACAAACTCACAAACAAAAAGAACACTCAGACCGAACAACAGTCCCTGGAGAATCAGCCAAGTGCTGTGCTCTGCATCTATTCTTATGACTATTAGCTTTGTTTCAAACAAACGCTCTCACCCAATAAATCCTTACGCAGCGGCCTTGAACTGCACAAAACCTGCACCATAATTAAACTTAAAGGTATGCGGCGCCCAGAAGCAGAATTTTACATAATCATAAGGAGGTAAAAGTTGTTGTATCTTGATAGTGACTGCAGCTAATAATGATGAGTTTGTCAGCTGTAAGGCTTTTCACATTTTCAGCAAGGTTTTATACTTTTTTAAATCTTTTTTAAAAACAAGCAATAGTTTATGCTATAATTTAACAACTGAAATTTCTTCTTCTTTAGTTTTTTGGGGGGTATTTTTTTATGTTCACATAAAAACATTCACAAGTAAAACATACTGTATATCTTSTGGTATCAATAAAATGTTATGGCCAAATCCAGATGAGGAGATGATGAAATAGGCTAGATCTGTTGAATCCAGTCTGTGACTTCTTGGTCCCCATTCAGCTGCCCTACTGCTGGTTCTCAGTCACCTCTGCTGTGTTATGTATTAGATAGGGGTGCAATGCCTGTATCAAACCATTCAATACAGTGCTTTAGGTTCAATACACACTTGTATCGAACAATACAGATTTTTTTACATTTATTTTATCAACTTTTCTTCTAAAGATGTTCTGTGTTGAAGGATCAGTGGATCTGTGTTCGACTCCACCTAGGCTGMATTTTTGAGCACAGATCCACTGAGAAACTTGCTGTTTCAGCAACATTTTATTTAAAAACTGTACTTTTGAGGTTAAACAAATGTTCATAATTAATTTAAATAAATTACAAGTTAAAAGGGGCATGGACATTTCTCTTTTTTGTGTTGAAAAAAAAAATCAAACCGTGAGACTAAAGTATTGAACCGAACCGAATTGTGAATTTTCTGTATCGTTGCACCCCTAATATTAGACTTCAGTACTTGCCAATACATAGTTCTGATACCAGTACTGAGAGTTGGAACCAAAACATTACACAATGACTTTACAAGCGCATTTCTTTTATTTAGAACAAGGTGTCTCTCCTTCCTCAGAGGCTCGCAGCCTTTCTGTCCAGATCAAACATTAATACTGTTGAAACATTTTAAAATGAATACAAATAACAAATGAGATTTTCTTCTAACTAGTATAACTTTCTCAAACATGGAACTGACAAACACTTTAAATGTAAACTATAACACAGTGAATGGGGTATCAATACCAGTGTCCCAGAACTGATTCCTTAGTGGTATCAGTTCTGAGTGTCAGGGTACAAGTACATAAAAAATGCAGGTGTCCCGGCTGATACCAGAATAGGGACACCACT